GCTATTTCATCTCGTAGGCTGGTATTCCTTTTGTGATTAGACATGCGGATAATGGCATCGGCTGATAAAGTTAACGCAGAAAGACGAGCGTGTTTTATAGATTGAGGATAACTTTGAAATAATGGCGGGGGATCAAATACCGAGGTTTTGGGGGTGGGTTTTGATGTAGGTTTGGCGGCAGTTTTGCCGTCCATGATCGATTTGGCTCTAAGATTCAAACGAGATGGGGTCCTAGTGGCTCTCACTGGTGTTGCTGATGTAGTTGGAGACGATGATTCACTTGCATTGCCCGTACCAAACTTTCGAAAAAACCCATCTCCCACAGGACTTGTTATTGGACTCATTAGCTTTGGTGAAAGTGGCGTTGGCGATGTGACTGATGGGGCAGGTTTGCGCTCTTCAGCCAGTGGCGATACCACATTTTTTTCGGATTTATTGCGTGTGAAAATTCCTCGAAGACCACCTTTCGACTCCTTACGATGAACTTTCCGACCGCCCAGAGGAACTCTGCCTTCCTCTGAGTTACTTGTATTTATTGGTGGTGGACGAACGCGGCGATTGAGTACGTCGGACGACGATGACGATTCATCATTGCTGATGCTCTCTCCCATAGAACTCATTCCCATAAGTACTGACATTGTAAAGGTTATCCAAGCTTCCTATGTTATTGATATGATGCTGGAAACCAGATTCCTAGATCGTGGCTCGGAGAGCTCAATTGAGCCAAGCTTCGGATTCTCGCAAATGTCTCGATTTCCTGGATTGAAGATTAATATTGCAAGCTCTTGAATGGATGCCGTTGAAGTGAATTCGATTCGCAAGTATGTTGGTGGTGTTCGTGTTGTATCGTGGTGGTTGTGGGAAAAATGAGTTTTTGGTCAATGTAAACAAAGCCAAAGGTGAAAAGTCGAGTCAGCAAATCACGATTGATTCAATGAGTGACAGTGAATATCGCAATTGTTATGATCGGGACAGGCATCATAAGAGGGGTGGACCTGATATCGAGTGAGATTCTTCAGATGAGATGGGGAGGACGTTGTAAGCAATTAACAATATCAACCGAGCTCCTATATGCGAGAAATCTCAACACACAATGGGATTTGATATATTTGAGGAAAGCATTTAGAGGAAGTAATTCAAGGAATGACGATAGAAATGAAACAGCATAAGAAAATGTGAGAGCACACAAAACGTAGTGAAGGAGTGTTACGGGATAAAGCGAAGGAAAGTACATCGTTCTGTATAAGAAAAACAAAACTTCTCTCTTACAGAGTACCCAGGTCCACGCGGTGACAAGGTCTTGACAAGGCCGCGACATGGATAAATAGACTTCACGTTCCCCATAGCGCTCAGAGACCAAACTGGCTGAATAGTTTTGGAGAAGAGGGTTTCTCCCATGTCAATTCTGTAGTCTTCAGTCTAAACATAGTAGACAAGGTATGGTTTAGACCGCTTAAATTTAATTTCCCAAAATCTTACTGGATGCCGCTTAAATAATCTTGGAACTATAAAAGCGTGAGTGAGAACTTAGAAATTGGAAATTAGCTTTGATTTTTATCTTTGAACTCGAACCGAAGATAATTGAATAGGGTCCCTTGGCTTGTGACGCACGGATTGCCCCAGTTTGAGGTTTTGGAGGTAGTTTGAGATGGATGAAGTCTTTCCATTTGTTTTTGGTTATCTCTCGAGTTGTTTGGATGAGTTCCAACTCTGAAATCTGACTTTTTTAATTGTAAAGCATCAAGCGAGTAAGTTCTATGTTAGCTTGGTGATTCTGCAACGGGAAAGCCCCGCACCGGCACACTTGTGTGAATTTTAACAATCAGTACTTGAGTGGTTGAGAGCTGTGCGATGTGGTATTGAAATAGTGTAAATCGTATTGTGCAGATTGATTATCGATCTTTTAAGGGGTACATGAAGCCCCTATACTACTGTTAGAGTGTCTTGATTCGACTATCTCATCCTTGAATATTCGTCAATATCAGTACGTACGATGCAGGTAATGGACATATCCAATTTGTCTAGCCAATGATTTGTCTGCTGATCTCTGAAAGACGGCGGTTACATCGTACGTAGAGATGGAGCCTCGGCAATGTGGAACCTAAACCGAAAGTTCCTGCATAAAAGCAGTCGATGATCCTGCAAGGGTGATCCTATCGTTGAAATCCTTATGCACACCACCTGCTCTCTGCTCTGAGTAGTTGTACAGAGTATAAGCCATAGAATGCTTGTCGTGCTTATGAAATATTACCTATTAGTTCATGTTTCTTGAGGAGAATTTTGCTAGTTTGAGGCAATGGTCGTCATGGCAGTTGTCAAGAAAAGTTTTAGGCTGTTAGAGATCGTGATCTAGAGGTCTAGAATTTCTCTTCATACAAGGAAAATGAGTTCGCCCACTTATCGACTTTCAACATTTTGAAATGATCGCAAGAATAGATTGCTTTGCTCCCCCCTATTGAGCAATCGGTAGCAAAGGTTGTAGAAATCTGAGACTCTGAGGGACGTCAAAAGAAACGATGCGAAAAGATAACGTCAATGAAAGGAGAGAATTGCGGAATACACCAGTGATAGTGCAGATATCCGGATGGTGATGCTGATGCTGTAAGGCTTCTAGAGAGAGTGTGGATTTGTAATAATCCTCGAGGGATACGATCCAAGTTCCCAGGGGTTTCTTGTCTGTGCTTTGACTCGAGTTGATTCAGTTGATGCTGATCAGATGACAGGCTTAGCCAAAATTCGTATCTGTACCTGTGCAATCAAACACCAACAATGTAAATGCGTGCAAGAAATAAGAAATCGTGGGAAGAGAAAAAGGAGAAGACGGCACAAAAGTTGTAGCGCAAAACAGTTGCATGAACGGGAAGAATTGGTGCGAACTGGCGGGAACTGACGAGAGTCTGAACGTGGAACACCCAATTTCCCCATGTCATCCATATCATCCATACCATTCATCCGTACCGTCCATATCGCCCATATCTACCAATGGACCTCCACCTTTAAGCTCAAGGTTGAAAGGAAACACTAGACAGTGCGGAGTCTGTTCTCCGTATACTGTAACAAACTCGATATTGCTGATCACTACTGATTAGATGGTTAACATATTGGTAGGGAGAGGATACTAGGTAATGTGATGAAGAAACAAACTTTAGAGAACCTCAAAAGGGAGGGAATTATCAACGATCGTAATGTAATATTGGTACTGGTAGAATGAATTTGCATTGAATTCCATGTGTTATCTTGAAAGTATAAAACGTTGGGGACAGTAATAAATATAATAAAGCTAAAGTACGCAAATCTTGTGAATTACAGGATCACGTGCTACGCCATTTCATCGGTTTTTGCTTTTGCACGGTAAAATCAAATCAGTGACGCGCCGGTCGCTTCAACCCCTCAGCAACCCCAAAAACTCCCGTCTCTGACCGAGATACAAAATTCCATCAAAAAGTATGTCTCGAGCTAGTGTGTCGTCTGCAAGACCACTTTCTCTTACGGAAGAGCTTGAGAAGCTAGAGCAATCTATCACTTTGACTCTCCAAGGCAAGATTTCACCTCTCTCCTAAAGCATTGTTTGTTTACTAACACAACCTCAGAAATTGATCACAACTTTAGTCGAGCACACCGTATCGTTACTACAAGTATTCTACCGGTTGTTGAACAATATGCCAACCATTCAAATGCGGTATGGGAAGGATCGAAGGTTAGTGCACATCTACAGAATGCTTGAAAGGTAACTAATAGCGGGGGTAGTTTTGGAAACAATTTTTCGAAGCCAGTGCCAATGTCTCATTATTACAAGTAGAGCAACAGGAGGAGGAGGAGGATGTCTCATATGCCCAGTCCCACGAAGAACCAAGTCAATACACAGCATCGCACGTTGACGATGAAACTGTCCGAACAGAAGATGATGGACACCATTCTTATGATCAGGATGATTCAATGTTAGAAGATAATGACATAAGTAGTAGCACCCCTCGAGCTCCTCCTCCTAGAAAGGATAAAGAACCACAATTTGCGGACCTCTCATCTCCATACGAGGACTTGAGAAGGGAACTTAGAGGCGCGAATTTACAGGATGATGAAGATGACACACAACTACCAAGTACACCTGGAGCGAAGCAAAGGGCACCGGATATGTCAATGTTGCCAGATTCATCCCCATTTGATACAACATCATATCGAATGGACCCGAATTTATATGATTTACCATCGAATGCTCAAACTTACATACCATCAACGGCTCAAAAGTCAAAAGATCCTCAATACCTTAAAATGCTGGAGAAGAATTATCGAATCCAAGCTACGCCACTTACGAATCGGAAAGAAAAGAGAACACCTGCTAACAAACCCTCATGGCGAGATAACCATTCGCCATTGTCTTCACCGCCAGCTGCAGCACCTCAATTACACGCTGATATATTCAGCTCGCCGATAAGACAACCATATAGACAAAATGCACCACGCACTCCAGGTGTAAGCGTTCAAACCCCTGCGAAAGGGAAGTCGAAGGATATCTTTGCCAGATCTGTGAAGAAAGAGAAAGAGAAAGATGAGATTACATGGGAAAGTGATAGTGATGAAGATGCGGAGGATATCTACAAGGAACTTGGAATGAGTCCTCCAAAGACCATTCAATTTTCCTTACCGCAATCAAGATTGTTACAAACTCCTGGTATGTCGTTGCCCTTTTTTTGATCCGTTGGCGATGCAAGCTAACTTGCTTATAGCACGAGAAGCAAGTAAAAGAATCGTTGAAGATCTTCTGACCACCGCAGGAGCTGGATTTGACAACACCGACGAACTGGACAACAGTCCAAGTATAGTTGCTATGAAAGATGATTTCGATGATAGTTTTTGAGAAACTCAAATTTATTTATTAAAAACCTAACGAGATATGAAAATCAAGAAGTCAATTTCCAACACCAAACTAGAGCTTCCAAAACGCCGTTTCCCAATACGTCTGTTCCCATTTGGGATAGGATTGTTTCATAAACATCCGGCTTTGATCCAGACACTACCGGTATGTTGCCAATGATCTATATATAAAAACTCCACCGAAACCCATGCCGAAGGATATGTAATATCACAGCATGGTCGTAAAATACCCAAATTTCAAGGGTCCGCGGTCAAACACCATTCAAACAAACAGACAAATTGAACACTGGCTATGATTACTTCATAGCCATGATCATATATGTCTCCGTGAGTGATTGTCTCGCTACCAATCCCATCAAGTCAGCCTTCTATCCTTTCATTCACATCCATCACATCAGGCTTTAGGGTCGAACGTACGTGTCTTCTTACTCGGTGTCGAGGAATCAATCAAGGTCTTCTCGTTTGACTTGGTTGCTTCCCTCTTCGAATGCTCCTTATACGAAAACTTTTCTTTGATTGTACTGAGTGGATGCTTCAAAAGTGAAATGGTGGAAGTGGTGCTGTACATTGAAGAGGTATCGTTTGCGGGAGTGTATGTGGCAGTGGTATCCATTGAGTCTTTTGGAGAGGAGGAAGATGTAGCAGTGTAGGATCTAGAGGTGGAGTAGGAGACTGGTGTTGCTTTTTGGGATTTGGGAGAGGAGGGATGGAAAAGCGTTGGAGGTTTCTCGTTTGGAAAACCTAGTGTTTGTTAGATGGGTTTATGGGATAGAGAAGGGAGTGGAAGAGGTTAAACATACGGGTAGCTGGGTAGGCGGGGAATCCGGCAGGCATTTTTATAGATGGACTGTTGATGTTATTTGAGATGTTGGTGATGATAGAATTTTGACTTTGAAAAATGAATTTGATGTCGAAGCAGTAGTGTTGCTTTTATGTGTGTTGATATCTTCTTATATCTGATTGTTGATAGTGGTGATGATGATGATGATGATGATGATGATGATGAGGAGAATAAAAAAGCCTTCACAATCGAGGCATCTCCCCCTCTATATACATATCCAACCCAACCAAATCCATCACAACCCCATACTCTTTAAAAAAATATGACACCTGTCGGTCCATGTACCTCCACTTCAACAACTCGAATCCAGAAAAGGCAAAACGGTCATCACAAATCGAGAATGCAGAATCTAGAATTTAAAGTCTCAACCATGTCCCATTTCATCTCAAGTCATCGCATGCAGACTCCGCCCGCGAAGCAACTAAGCAATTCTGAGCAAGGTATCAGAGAGAGAAAAGTCTGATATCCCATGCTTGCCGCCTTGTTTTACCCCAGCTTGGCCTAGAAAAGAAAAGAAAAGAAAAGAAAAAGAAATAGGTAAGGTACGGTATATGGATATGGAGTATGGTATGTATGCTTACCAACTAACTAACAAGCAAACCATGCGTGCATATTTAGAATGCATATCAAATTTTACTTGTATGACTTCGTATTTTTATTATTATCTTTTTTTGGAGAAAAAAAATAGGTAGAACTGTCAGAACACCGGCCGCGTACACGCTTTGCATGTGTTGGAACTTGGATGCGCGAAAGGTAGAAGCTATACTTGAAGGGGTTTGGGATAAGGCTGAAGAGGTGTGAGTGATGATGGGCTCGGAGTTCGCTTATTCCACTGGTTGATGCTGATATTCCGTGCCTATCTACCTAAGCTTTTATTAGTTGTAGCGGTGATGGAAGATTGGGGAGAGAGGCCGGATGACTCAGGGTTTGGTGGTGGTGAGGTGGTGGTGAGGTGAGGTGAAGTTGAGAGGGGGGGAGGAGGGGTACTCGGGGAGCTTGATTTGGGATGGGATGGGGTGGGATAGGATAGGATAGGATATGATAGGGTAGGATAGGATAGGAGGGTTTGGATGTTACGGTGTGGAGCATGGACATGGAGATGCGTCATTCATTTGGTGATTATATGTTTTTATTGAAGTGAGGCAGGTTACTAAGTATTCTCTATTCATATGGTTCTATGCTTGATATCTCCCAGACCCAACTCCCAGATATCAGAATATCCAATTCCTATTCTTGAGCATTTCTACACGAAATCCCGATATGTCTGCAAGTTAACAGGTAATGTTTCGAGTACACGTATAACTTTACCATCAGCTCGTGAATAAACAATCAAACATACACATAGATAGACAAACTACGAAATATGTATGTACTCTATACATATTGTGCCGCGACGACTGGTCGATCGACTGGAAATCGCCGTGCAGGTACCAACCATACCGAACTACGTATCAGGAGTTCCATTACGAAAGACAGACGAATGGATTGCGAAGATTGTGTCTGATATGCATGTATTCCATGCCTTTTTGTGGCTAGTGATCTGCTGCCTGATTTCTGATCTATCTCTTGTCTTCTTTTGTCTGTTTTGTGGGAAATTCAGTGTTGTGGTGGTTCTGGTGTCAATGTGTCATATCGTGATCGCCAGCTAGACAAGGCAACATTGTATTGTGAATTGATCTATGCATTGATGCATACGGACCCTCTCATCACATAGCTCCATACCTATCTAACAATACTTTTTAAGAATTCATAAGTAAGCAGGAACAATACTTCCTATACCGTAACACTAAGATCTTACTACTCCGTGCCTCACACATGGTCTTATGAACGAATACCCAGATCCCAGCCACACCTCGCACTGAACTCCGAAACTAGATTAACATGTCGGTATAAGCAAAGGCTCACGAGTAGAACTTCAACCCAGCCCGTTGGGTCGGAATACCTATTTTTTATTCTGGACCAAATCCCCCAGAACGAAATTGGTGGTGAGAATTTTGATGTAAAAAAATTTGTGTGATATATTATAGGAAGACTCATTGAGGTCTAGAACTGTATCTCTTCTCGGATTCTGATTGAGATAATTAAATGAATATGCTGGGCTTGTAAGGTTGCCGTGTGATTTCTCCGCTCACTCCACTTTCGAAGCTTTTTTATAAGTTACAACTTATATTGACTCCAATATTGTCTGAGCGGAAAGAGTCATCGAAGTTAATTGATAGTGATATTGAATTGACCAATCAGCATAGGGAATTGGGAAGAGTCATTCCTTTGGTTAGGAGATCAATGCTTACAAGACTGCGGAGGAATCGATTGTTTATTAGATTGTGAAACTGATGTGATGAGAGTTTACTATTCTACTCATTTTGAGTGATTAGATGATGGCAGAGTCGGATGACTAGGTGTGGTTTCAATAGGTTCAAAGTGGCTAGCGAGGCTAGCTCGATTTTATGGAAAAAGGTTATATCATATCTTATCTACTCGTTCCTATCTAATCAAAAGTCATCGTTCTGAATGCATATTTTGCAGAGCGTGATCGAACTCCTGTTGCTTACTTATACTTCAGTTGATACCAACCTTACTGTGAAACGTGAGAAGGGATGCACCCACGCGGAATAGAAGTCAAACAAGAGTCTATACAAAGGGAGCTTGGAAACTAATCCACCACGGGTATTTGGGCCTGCTTTCAAGTATGGTACTCAAACAGCCGCCATACCTACCACCGCGCATATCTTCGTTCTTGTCACTGGTATGGTCGAAAGGAGCATCGACGAAGACGATGATGCGCTGCGGTTTCTCAATCTCTTCTATCACCTGATTAGGAAGGTAGTGAGGAGAGCGGTTTCCATGAATTGTAGGCTATGTATGACACAGTTCACCGTAACAGATCAAAGTAGATAATCGGAATACCAATTCTGTGTGTTACTTATCGAGCTCTCAACTGAACTTCTACTTGATCTCTATGAATAATATGGTGCACAAAGTTGACTCACAGCTTTTGTAACGCGGAACTCTCTTCGCTTCTGTTGACTTTTAAATCCTTCTCTATTAATTTAATCCTTTTCTCTTTTACATTCCAATCGATTGTGATTTGAATAATCACTCATTTCATTCCATTTGAGGGCAGCAGTATCAACATCTCAGATATCCTCAGGTATTCACAAAGTAAGTCTATAATAATCTATAACTCTAATGACTTTTCTAGAGTTCATGTTATACCTTTACCCAATAGTAGAAGTTCAGTCATTAAGCCGATACATAGCATCCATTCCAATGTCTTCCTCCTCACCCTCACCCCCACCCTCAGAATACCGCTCAAATTTCTTCACCAAGAAATGGACAATCACCATCCCGTCACACCCAACTGTCAAATTCTTCCGCGCAACGCCATCTCACTTTGATGCCTGGCTTCCCCTTGCGACAGACGCCGATAACAACAAATTGCAAGACAGCAAAGACCAATTCTGGGATGAGGTTGCCATCTCAAAATGGAAAGATAACATGTATGATCAATACGACAAGTCTAATACGGATTTTCATTGCCTGAAGGTCCTCTTTGAAGTTGATGGGAAGGTTATGGGGTTTGGGGATATCTATGTGGTCAAGCCTGGAATCGCGAACATCGGCGTGGTTCTGAATAAGGAGGTGAGGGGTAAAGGATTGGGAAAATTAACGGCTAGTGTTTTGACTCAATTGACTCTTGATTTTGGTCTTCAAGCTGTCGCTGGAACAATGAGGGATAATGAAGCGATGCGTTCGACGTTGAGAAATCTAGGATTTGTGGAAGAGGAAAAAATCATAGAAATCGAAGGTCGTGGAGTAGTGGCAGAATTTTCTTATACGCTTTTGCGGGAAGGATGGAAGGATATTGAGTTGAGTGTGGAGTTTGAAGAGTGATTTGGTACAGCTGGTATACTAAATGATACCATCGATGGACGGTGAACTTATTTCCAAAGTGGCTATATGCGATATCGATCCAGTGTTCATCTATGAGCTTCATTTTGTTTTTGGTGAAATGAGTTTGTCATTAAATATTTTCATTTATTGCAATACAGCTATGTAGCATATGAAAGTGGTTTCACCAAGCCCATCAAGTGAAGGACTGGGAGACTTAAAGGCATAGACATTTGGTGGCTCAAGGCAGTTCCTCAACGCATTTGTGCGAAAACTACATAGGCTTTTCATTTATGGCTGCTCCTATCAGGTTCTTTGTCTTTTACTATTGAAAGCTTGAAACACATAAAGTCTATCTTTTAAATATCACGAGGGTCATCTAGGCTTCAAAGTCGGACAATTTTTTTACATTTTATACACAGTAAGCCAGAATACTGTGTAAATACATGACTCCATATTGCGTAAACTTTATAAGTCTACTTATAGCCTACAAGGTAGGCTCAGGTTCTGACGTATATACTTATATTCCTATAACCCTTAACATGCACCTAGGAGTTCTTACGCCAAACAAAAATCGCAAACCTTTTAATCCACATGACTTCCATAAGGATCCTTGCTCAAAGTAGCAACACCGTCAGTGTCTAATTTTACACAACGGCCAATCGCCCTAAAAGCTCTCAAAGGCGTCAGACCACTCGTCACTCTATCAGAAACCAAACCATTACAATGCGCAATATGACCTCCTTGCACCGCATCCTGCAAAATCCACACATTTTTCTCCTCATTGAGAACCCGCGAAATGGCATTCGTAGTCAAAGCCCAATTGTATAAGCAATGCGCAATATGCCATTCATGGGTCGTCCAAATAAACGGATATTTACTAAGCTCGTTTGCATCTTGTGGAACAGGCTCGGTCCGGTTGGACCAGCGGTACCAGGGGAAGATTCCGGCGCCGTCCAGAGGGAGATTGGCGTGTTTGTCGACGAAGGAGCTCATGATTTCACTGCCGTTGCAGGCGGCTGGAACGTAGGAGAATGCCATGATGTTAAATGTACAACCTGCGGCTTTGGCAGTGGCTTCGCTGTTGCCGCAATCGAGGTCTGGATGTGTGGGATGGCTGGATTGAGTGGGTGAGATGGGGAGATGCTCATGCTTGTGTTCGTGGCTTTCGTGGGAGTGAGATTCTGGTTGTGATGGTTGCTGAGTAGATGCACTATTGTAGGTGTGCTTCAAAGCTTGGAAACGTAATGTTGAGTATGCTCCGAATGTGATTGATACGAGAGCAATGATTATAGCGACGGCGGCCACGATGTAGATTTTTCGCTTATGGCTGTGTTGCTTTTGATGAGAGGGGGAGTCATGACGCTCGAGGAATAATTCTTCTTCGTCTGATTTGGAGAAATCATCATGATTCTCTTTCCCTGATTCATGAAGTCTTTGGTCTTCGAGACTTTCGTAGTGTGTTGCTTCGGGGCTGTATAAAGCTGACATGATATTAGAAATTGGGTGGAAGGAAAAGGAGAAAAAGGGTTCGAAGATTGAAGATTCAAAAGTCAAAAGTCAATACCCAGCGATGACGAGAATGCAAATTAGTATGCGTCTTTCCCAATGTAACTTAGTTACTTTGTTGAACAACCAAAGTAAATGGGAAACTGACTTGATCACGGAATTTCAGCAAGATGAAACTTTGGGCGGGAATCAATTATAGTACTACAGTACTTCCAGAAAATATCGATTTCCCTCCATGGTTATTTACCTCATAGATGTCATATCACACATTTTTCATTATAACCGCATTTGCAGAGAACCTGACACAGCTTCCGCCAGCGCACAAAATATCTTTATCTTTCTTTCTATATTATCTTCACACCCTTCATGATCACTCACTTATAGCAATTAGCTCACCAAATCGAATACATCACAGAAAATAGGGAATTACATGACGTGTCGATGAAAGAGTTAATCTTTCATATTATCGTCATGTTGAAATTTATTGGTTTCGAATCCTCGCTTGCTGGCTACACAGCATGGCACGGTATGATTTTCTTATCGACTTTGCACAACTGGTAGTAGTTTTGATTATCTAGGTTTATTCTGGTGGGAGGGAAAGTGTATGTGTATATGTGTGACATAGGCTAGGGATTGGATAGTTGTTGGAACAAGGATAGTTATCGTAAGGAGGGGCTCGTTGGGATTGAAAACAAGTTTGGATACTTTTTGAAGATAATGATATGATTTCTGGATTGGTGGTTCATTTTTTTTCATTGTGCGATGGATGATCTGTGGATGGTTAGTTGGGATTGGTGATGTTGGAGCTAGCTGAAGTTCGTTTAGGTCCCGATGTATGCTTTAGTGTTGAGTATGCGATTTAGGTAATACTCGGGATGTCTTGAATAGTAGAGGTAGTTCTCGAGTATCTGCTCTGAGTGACTAAAGTACGGATCAGATCTTCATCATAGCATTCATAGGCATGGCCAATACATTGCATTTGCGTTTCTCCGAGTATAAAAACTCTGTGTCTTTCATTTCGTCCTAGTATTCGCTTGCAGATTAAAAATCCCCGAGTATTTCGACCACTATAGCAGAAGTGCAGTACACGTAATTCCTCGTGCTTTCTTCTGTAGTCAAGAAAACACAGCTCCCATTCCTTCCCACCTTCTATCTTTGGAAATTCAATCACCAAACTCACACATCCATAATAACCATGGAAAACAAATTCAAACCCAGCATTAGCTCACCTCTTCGCTTCATTCTATACACCATCTTCCTCTCCACAGCAATAACATCCACATTCCTCCTCCTCTCCCACAACCAACTCCTCCCCTTCCTCTCCCCCATCCAAAACCACATCATCTATCAAATCTGTCCCGAAGCACACACTCACACCAGCTGCGCCTCCCAAGCCCCACCAAGCGAATTCCACCCCAAAATCTTCGTTCCCATCCCCACGCTCGAAGCCGCGCTCGGAGACCCCGAGGACGTGGACTGGGATGAATATCTCCTTACTCCCAACGGGGGTTTCATCATAGTAGATGAAGGAGAGGGGGTGACGAAGGGATATGGAGTAACCATGTTTCATCAATTGCATTGTCTGGGAATGATTAGGACGATGTTGTTTGGGGGGCCGATGAATCACGATCATGAGGTGCAGGGGGCGGAGTGGTCGAAAAATCCGTTGCATTTCTTGCATTGTTTAGATTATATTGCGCAGGTGAGTGGTTTTTCTTTTCGCTTTCTTTTCTTTGGTGCACGAAAATAGTGTTATGCTAACTCTGTCGTGTCTATTAGGGAATCATCTGTACGGCGGATGATACCCTTGAAGTTCCTAAACCCACGACCAACGCAATGGGAAAAGTGGTGGATGGAATAGATGGTATGGGCCATGAACATCAATGTCGCAATGCGAGTGCTCTGAGAGAAAAAGTGCTTCTTAGCGAAAGTAAACCGGTCTGGAGAGCAGCCCTTGGTCGGACCAGTGTATTTAGCCATCGTGCTATCCCTGTAACTTGAGTTTCGAATACTAGACGATGGAGGAGCAAACAGCTGACTCTCTATTGCGGGGAGGTGGGGACGGGTTCCAGTAGATGTTGTAACTACGTAAATTGAGGGTTTCAGTATGCTGAATGACATTATGATAATAAATTTGAGAAGCATTTTAATCTGCCGAGTCTGAAAATTATCTACTGGTGCATTCAAGTTTCTTAAAAACTGGTGAAATATTCTCGTCTCCAATGGAAGATAGGAGGAATATTTCACAATGAAGGATAGGACCTGGTACAGAAATGACATACAATTTGACAATTTAACAATTTAACAGGCATTAAGTTCAATCTCGTCAACAAAACATGCATGAGGGAATTTGACTATTACCCTCTATTAATTCTTACTCATACCAACCAATTTATCAGCCTCTCCACTCTCTTTCACCATACCCCAAAACATGCCCTTTTTCTCAATTAATTCTCTTGGACTTCCCATCTCGGCTACTTTCCCATCATCCATCACTAGAATCTTATCAAAATCTCCTACTGTACTAAGTCGATGTGCAATAACCAACAGCGTGCTATCTACAAATTCCTCGCGAATGCTTTTCTGAATAAGCGCATCCGTTTCAACATCTACAGAGGACGTCGCCTCGTCGAGAATGAGAATTTTTGGGCGGCGAATAATAGCACGTGCGAGACAGAGAAGTTGGCGTTGGCCTTGGGAAAGATTGAGACCACCTTCCGCGATTGAGCTGTTTAGAGAGAGGGAAATGTTTTGATTTTGAGATGAGCTTGATAATGGAGTTGCAATGCCAGAGCTAGATTCAGAGATGAGATGAACTCGGCGAAGGGAGTCAAAGAGAGCTGTATCATCATATTCATTATCTGCATCCAGGTTACTGCGAAGTGTGCCTAGAACTCTGTTAGTGCTTTTTCTTTTCCTTTTCCGGAAATCCGGAGAGCTCTAACCTGAAAACAACACTGGATCTTGAGGAATAATGGCTAGATTGCGGCGCAGGGATTGTAGCTTTAGCTTCGAGATATCATAGCCGTCGATAACAATGCTGCCTTCTCTCGCTTCCAGGAAACGGAAAAGTGCCAATGTTAGCGTAGATTTCCCGGATCCAGTGCGACCAACAATCCCGACCCTTATACCATGTTAGAATTGAAACTTAGTGGGGGTAAAGATTCCGGATATTACCTCATTTGTCGATCAATGCTGAAGTTCAATCCTTTTAAGACAGGGTCCAGATCATGGTTGTATGCAACGGCCAAGTCTTTCACTTCCAAACAACCTGCTGTTGGCCAACTTGCGGGAGGTTCCTCACCATCTAAAGTCTCTGTGGGCATCTCTGTGTATTCGATCACACGCTCCGCCGCGTTCATTCGTAACTCGAGAAAACCTGCATGGAAAAGTGACCAAAATAGGGCACTTGAAAATTCCAGAGATATAGCAAGGACAAAACCAGCAAGCCCTGCATCAGTCACAGTAGCGGCTACAATCGCTGCGATTGACATTGTGTATGCCGCAGAGGCCATGCCACCTACTCTCCAAACAAGCCAATTATGACATAAAGTAGTATTCCAAACTGTTGAGCTTGCATCGTCGATCCTACGATATACCTTTTCAAGGTAAACATCTCTCCTTTCGAAAGCTCGTATTGTAGTAATGCCAATCAAAATTGTTCGAAATTGTTCAAATATGAGTGATCTGTTGGTCGAATCCAAGCGTCTCGTTGCTCTCGCGGCTGTAATGGCTTGGAGCGCTAGATGTGCGGACAATGCAGATACAGCAAATGTTAAGAATATTACATATGGTGATAAAAACATCCTTTTTATTTTATTAGCAGAGGTATTTTCAACCAGAATCTACTACTTACCCTGCAATTGCTATGCCGAATAACCTAAAAACATCACCGAATCCCCATGTGAGCGTATCCTGAGGTCAAAATATGTCAGAAATGGGAGCAGTCCAATATGTGAAAGATTCCACAGAATGAATGAAACAATCAATCAATCAAGAGGTACAGATGAAAATAGGCATACTCACAACAATATCGAAGTCGACTGTGTTGAAGTCGGTCGTGAATCTATTCATAACCCTTCCGAATGGCACAGTATCTATCCAACGCAGAGGAGCTCTTAGAACTTTGAATAACATTGCCTTAAAGAGCATTTTTGAACCCCGAATGCATTGCTTGTATGCATAAATATAGCCGTAGATACGAAAGATGCTCATGGCGACACACAGGGCAAAATAGGTTCCAAGATAAAAGGTTGTACTGTGTTTCTCTAGTACATCAGATGATGGCACGGTACCGTTTATATCGAATGCCGAGGAAGTCAAGAAAATTTGCGATTGATCGAATCTTGCATGTAAATTGCGCTCGTTCTCACCATCAGTACTGGTCCAGAATCGAAGCCAATATGTTCGGCCTAAAGATGAGTGTTAGTGTTTGTCCTCGTAAATCATTGTCAGAAAACGAATGAGATCTTACCGAGATTAAATAACGTGGTCATGGTATAGATTAGAAAGAACATAATTCCAATAGTCCATCCGCCACAAGACTTGAGCCATTTTGAATAAACTGAAGATCCAATGTTTCCTTGTTTGCGAAATTCGTCCAACACAAACTTGTGAGGATCGGTCTTTTTCATCATTGGAGAATTGTAGCCTAATGTATCTACGATGGTATCTTCCTCCGAAACATCTTCCATGGCGGTTAGAGTCTCGTCGGTATCATCCAGGCTTTCGACAGGTGCACCAAGATATTCTTCTAATTCTTGAACGTTAGAAAATTGCTTGGCAATACCATCCTCAAGCTCTACGATAGACTTGACATGCGATTTGCACAAAGATAAATGGTGTGTTGCTAATATGATAGTACGGCCAGCGCTCAGCTTGCCGACGAGAGCATTGTTGAGGATGAACTGGCCAACGTGAACATCAACAGCACTGAATATATCGTCTAGCAAAACAATTCCAGCACGTGAATACAGAGCTCT